TTTAATCTGTTTTCATTAACCGTTTCCCTGTCTCCTGATCTCTTTCTATGAATTTACAACAGAAATAAACCTCTCAACTTCAAGAGGGTTTTTACACCTATAGGCCATTTGCTTGAGTCCAAATCAGTTGATGAGTTTCAAGTGAACTAAAAGGCGTCACTGCAAACCACGTGAGAACATTCTGTCTGCTTACTGGCCAGATGTGTACGAGGTCAGAGCAGGAAGAGCTTATACTGGAAGAAGGTGCTGTGTTCTGGACTATTGAACAATATGGAAGATGTACTGCAGACATTCTCTGCTACATCCCAGAATGCAAAGCATACCTGGCTGCAGGAAGGTGTTAAGCCCAAACATGTGTACACCTAGTAGTTGGTTTCTGTCACATTCACCCATAAAGTAACCCTTCTGGGGTTCGTTTGGACCCAGACTGCAAAAACCTCCTCTCAGCTGTCACTCTCTACACCCGAGTGCGACTACAGTGTTCACATCTGCATAAACCAACTGCACCATGGTGCACAACAGGAACACTTGAAGTGCTCTTTTTCCTTTTGACTGATTTTTAAGTTGTTTTGTGTAGAAAAGTGAGAATTTCCTGGTGCCCAAGGTGACCCACTGTGGGTCAAACAAAACAAGTTAATGATTAAAAAGCAGGGACTGGCACATGTGGGATTTGTGGAGCTCCTGCTGCTGCTCCGTTCTGGTCCTGTGCCGGTGTTTTTGCCCTCTCCGTTCCTCGCAATCCTTCCATTTGTGTTATCATCATTTGCTTTTCGCGTGCACGATATCTCATATACTTGTGAGCTTGTGCAGGCACCCCTTTTAACCACTGATACGGACTTGGACATATTTAAAGTGACCAAACTGTTGATTAATTATTCAGTATAATGAATCGTGGTCTTTGCAGCAGCCCGAAGTATCATCTTGAAATTAATAAATCAAAGCAAAACAGATGAAATGAATGTAAAATGCACACTGGTTCATGTTTTCTTGATGATTGTTGCCCTTGAACAGAAGTCAAACATTTGAATAAAAATAACCCTCTTCTATAAAGAAAATAAAGGCCAGATGCACATCCAGTGACAGGGCGTTCAAAGGAAAGTCAGATTTACACAATAAATGTTAATGATAAACCAAAAACAAACAGACCACAAAGTACACAAACACTGCACTGCCTGCTATGGAACAAAGTTTTGTTGCTGTATAGCTACTCTGACAATAAAGTCTTATCTCCCGAAGGCCAGATTTACATCAATGGTTTATTCATCAGAGGGTCACTATCATTAAAGTAAAGGCTTCAGATCATCAGCTAGCAGGTAATAATAGATCAGCACGCTTTTATTCTGACTGTATGGTGGCAGAGCATGACAAACTGGTCTTACATAGTCCTGATACTCCCAAAATGTTCTTTCACTCAACCTCAATCTTTCCATCAGGCTAAAGATTAATAAATGCTATCTACCTGCTATCTTGCTAGCAAATACAGAGGCTAGCATCATGTGAACTTTAAGTGCTGCCAATGATCCTGATGACCCTTTTGATGGATTCTCTAAGGGCGTTTTCACACCTACAGTTAATTTACTGTGGTCCGAATCAGAAAAGAAAAAACTCCAAGTGAGCAAAAACACATCACTACAAACCTCGTGATTTCGGACAGTTAGTTGGCTCATTGGTCGGAAGCAAAAACAGGAAGAAAGCAGTGTGGCCTGGTGGATAACGTAGAGAATTCTCATTAATTTTACAGCCAGTTGCAAACCCATAGTGAACATGTGGGTTTGCATGTACATTTATGTACTCAGAAGGACTTTTTTATTACCTCAGAAGTTAGCATGCTAGCTTCTATGCAAAGACGATATACCAAGTTCTCACTGAGAGATTTCTAAAATCTGCTAATACTTTAGACTTGAATAAAAGACAGAAAACTGAACAGCAGCAACTTTGGAGGGTTTTTGAGGTTGGGCTAGGTGCCATTTAATTGTGTGGTACTTGGTGGCTAGCTACAGAGCTAGTTAGGATAATATAAACACATTAGCACAGGGGTAGGGAATGTTAGTCCTCGAGAGCTGGTGTCCTGCAGGTTTTAGATCTCACCCTGGGTCACCACACCTGACTCAAATGATTAGGTCATAACCAGGCTTCTGGAGAACTTCAAGAGATGTTGAGGAGGTAATTTAGCCATTTAAATCAGCTGTGTTGGATCAAGGACACATCTAAAAGCTGCAGGACACCGGCTCTCGAGGCCTGTAGTTCCTTACCCCTGCATTTAGCAGAATGAAGATGGAGGATGAACATTTAATTTGTTCCCCTCAGTAAAAGTCAATTTGAAGGTCCCTGACAGCCAGCCACAAATTAAATCACATGGCAGGAAAAAGACGCCAAAAACTGAGCCAACTTCAATCAAAAGAACGGTCGAGATGATCCATCCACAACATGAGGTTAGTCATCAATATGCTACTGCGTGGTCTGGATGACTCACTATGAAAAATTCCAGATCCTAAGCTTCGTAAATCCACTCAAAATCTTGATTCACATCGCGAGCCGGGCTGTAGTTACATGGTGGGGTTTAAAACCATGACCTTAAAGATGTGCTGCGCATGAACAGGTAAAGTTGAAAAACAGAAAGGCAGAGAAAAACCACAGATTATTTTTAGAGTCTTGTTTATATTAAATAAAACACGATAAAAGCCTCAGGTAACGCAGTAGGAGCCTGGACACAGAAGCACGGTTGACACCTCATCACTTAACAAGTAGGCGGTACCCTGCCACGTCCCAGAATGCAAAGGTGTTTAAATTATACTTGTACGCCTCAGTCCACAGCTTAGTGCAACTCCCGTGTTCACACCTGCACATATAAACCACACAGAGGGGGAAGAAAGAACCTGAATTCGATTTAAACGGACTGAACTTCAAAGGTGTGGAAACACCCAAAGAAAGTGAAAATTTTCACTGAACCTACACAGATTAAATTCCACTGTTGACTATAACATGACTAACACAATTCTAAGAAACCTAAATCAGTGGGTTTTTTTTTAAATGTACTGATTTCACAATCTGTGGATGTCGGATATGCAGGTCGTCTATGACTCAGCAGCCCTACATTCACTGCCTCGTATAGTACGTCAGCCTTTATACGCTGAAGGCTTCTCATGTTGGTTTAAGCCTTTTCCCCTTCTTATTCTGGTCATTTTAGAGCTGCACCTCTTTGTTCTGTTATCTTATTGGCCTTTTAGTGATTTCTCTGCTCGTACACTTCAACACATCCACGTAAAAGAGACACATTACCTGTGCCAGCTATTTTCTACACTGTAATGTAAACAGCAGCACTGAGTTGTTCTCATGTTTGTGTCCTGATCCTGCAGCACAAAGCAAACTAGACCTGGGGCGAATGGTATTTGCATGCACTTTAAATGTCTGGGTTTGTGTAATAAGCTGCCAGTGGGTGGAGTCAGCCACTAAAGGCAAGCAAATGGGCTAATACAAACCACTGAGTGTAAATCACCAGCCAAGGCGTGGTGACTCGATCCTGCCTCACTCCACTAGTCTCCACGCTAATTTTTAGGGACATAATTTTACTCAACAAAGAAAATACTTTGAAAAGTTAAATGAGCTTTTAGGGGTGGAGCTCACACACCTGAACATTTTGCACCTTGCTGCAATCAATGGCTTTCTTTATCAACAAATCTGTGGAATAATTTGGACAAAACTGCAAGTTGAAGGAATCTTGAAAGTGACTTAAGAGTCAGCAACAACAAATCACCACCAGGGGGCGACTTGTCTGGTTCTGAGAAACATTTTTGGTTGTCTAGGTGGAAGAAAAATCCCTTGCTTTCCTTTATTTGTGACTTTCATGATGGTTTTATGGTCTCAGTTGTGAGGTTTAGGTCATATTGAATCATTTATAGTCACTTTTAATGCTCATCGGAAAGCTACTTGTCAGTCACACGCCATTAACCAATGAGCGTGCAGTGCTGATGAGTTTCACATTCAGACCCGTCCAGTTGTCGCCAAGATGGCGACAACTGGAGGCTTTCTAAGGAAACTTCCATAACCACTGGATGATGTCACAGCGGGCCCCATGCATCTTTTATACTCTCTATAATAATCTAAACGCCATCACTGACATATAACAGCTGTACACGAGGGCACGGACCCAGAAACAAAGTCTCCATTGACCCTGGGTTCACTGAGCCAGCGTGTTAGATGTGCAAACACAGCCCAAGGCCATGTACATGAGTGAGTGTGTGTGTGTGGGCACCACATCGACACCACTCCTCTTGCAACCTCCTCCTGCTCCTCTACCTGTCTGCTCCAACTCAACAAAGCTCAATAACAACAGTTTTCAACACTCTCATTCAGTTCACCTGAACATGACCAAAGAGCTCAGGGTGTTATGGAAATTTTTAGCCTGGCTTACATCCACCGAAGCATGCTTTAAATTTGAATTACAAACACTGTAGTTAAACTTCTTACACCCACATGCCAGGAAAAGACAGAGAAGAATAATAACTATTTTTATTATTATAATTATTATAAAGGTTTTTCATACATGGTAAGGGCTACATTGGGAAAATAGCTTATTAAAAAAATTATATGACATACCTATATTTCCATTAGTTGTTTTAGCGCAGTAGGTTAAAGAGTCCTACGTGCAGCAGGTGCACTCACACCTCCACTGTCACTGTAAAAAATGCCTCAAATTGTAGCTATGCTAATCAAAATACTCTAAAACCATGTGTGTGTTTTAAACATTAAAGTTTGTTTTGCTGTGGCACAGCACGACTGTAACACACTTTATTTTATTTTATCTGTGCCTGTGTTCTGTCTGCTGTGGACACTTGCGCCATATGGCTGACATCACAGCACCGGTCCACCTGTTGACGGTGAACAACCGTCAAACAGCACTTTAATAACATCTCAGCAACACTTTTCAAATTCAGCTTTTTCAAACTCACTGTAAGCAGCAAACGAAGATTAGCAATAAAACTAACACTGTTTCAACCTACCTGTCTTGGTGAGCGAAGGTGTGGCACTTTGCCCCAGGTAATCAAAAATGCACGGATGTCATTTATCTAGCTTCTCTTCCGGTCCTTTTTTTTTTTAAAAGTCACTGAGTTAAAGTTAAAAACTCAGGTAAGAAAATTAAGAGTCCGGACGACATGGTGAGCCACAGCTGCTTTCCTTAGTTTGGTTTGTTGTGTTGAGTCGCTGAAGAGTTTCCCCCTCGGTGACTCCTCAGTCCCATGTCTCCGGTGCGGGCAGGAGCGCGCTGATGGGGAGTTGCTCCGGGAAACTAGTGGACCAAAGCGGAGCTACTTCCTGTTACACCCTTCACAGTAAAAGCTACAAAGCACCCTTCTTCTTTGCTAACTTGATTTTAATTTTATTTAACTTATTATAATAAAAAGACATAAAAGAGCTGCAACTATCTGCATATATAATGTTGAGTGATTGTATCCCACCTCATTAATTTACGTTCAGCTTCTTATAGCGTCTTTTTTTTTAACCTTTTTATCAGCTTTATTTTTATAGTTAATTCGGCTTCTTATATTTTGTAGTTTTTACCTTAGAGAGGTGTATATTGTATTTTATTTTATTGAGGTGTTAAATCTTGTAAAACCTATTTTCTTATTGGTAATTTTAGAGTATTTGTCATAATTGATGGATTACAAGAAAATGACATGAGATTTCCTAACATTTCGATTAAAAAAAAGTATTGTTATATTTTTTTTTAATATGTCAATGTAGCTTACCATCACCAGTGTGTGAATGTGTGTGTGAATGGGTGGATGACTGGATATGTAAAGCGCTTTGGGGTCCTTAGGGACTAGTAAAGCGCTATATAAATACAGGCCATTTACCATTTACCATCTATAAATTGGCATAGTGATTTCTTTCAGTGTCTTTTTTTAGCATTAATTTCCCTCCCTTGTTTTTGATTTAAATATCTATTTGCATGCCTGCCTTTGCATTTTTTTACACACTCTGACGTCAGTTTTTGAACATGCCCATAAAAGCAGTATTTGACCCCTGAAACAGTGTATCAAGATCAAAACTTTTAAAATTAGAACACATAAATAAATTTTAGTAATGATATATACACTATATACATGTATAATGTTTTGTGGATTGCGAATCTGTTGCCAAATAACATATTTTCAAAATTGGAAATACATTTTCTTCTATTTTCCTTCTTCTTAATCCTCTCTTTCTTATCATTACAAGAATTATTTGCTTTAAGAGATCACAATCATGAACATATTGTAGTGATGAAGGCTATGCACTTCTGTTAAAAAGCACAGCATCACTGTAATTCAGATTAGTACCAGATAAAAGTCACCTCTAACAGGCATATTGATATCTGGCACAGTGGCTTAAGTTTGTATGAAGCTTTAATGAAGTGGGTCTAATCTGTGGGTGAAGGAATTAAAACTGAGTGGAATGAACGTCATTTACGTTTAATGTGACTTCCTGTCTTGACCACCTAACCCACGTCCAGCTTGACAAGCCACCACCTGACCACAGTTGATCATCTGACTTGGAAGTGATTAGAGTTGAGACTCCCTCTCCCCTTAAAGCAGCCTGGCATCCATCCAGAAAAGAAAGAAAAAGGAAGAAGTGCACTTCCTGGATGAGTTTGGCTTAAAAGTAACTCTCACATTACTTATTATTGTGCAAATGAATGAAATCTTAACTTTTTTTAGAGGAAATCTCAGGAAAATAACAACAAGAATGTATATGTGTGTTGGTCTGGATCCTTAAGCGACACTCTTATTAAATATTGATTTATTAGCAGGATGGACGAGCAACTTTTTACGGGACAAATTACTTTCCTAATAATGACATGCAACTAAAAAAAAAGTTTGAGTGTTTACAGATGCACAAAGTAAGTTCATCCTTGAAGGGATCAAAAAAA